GTCTGTGACCGAAAATCAACCCAAAGAACATCTTCAGGATTAAAACAGAGAAAATGGAGACAATGCACAGATGATGTCTCTACTGTGGAGGAGATCAGCCTTCCACACACACACACACACACACACACACACACACACACACACACACACACACACACGCTCTCTCTCCTGGGATGGATGATCATTCTCACTGCTCACAGCCAAAAACAGGGATTGAAGAGCTCCATGGTTATCAATGGAGACCAGTGACCACTGGGACACACACTGGGAAGACTGGGAGACGGTGTATGTGTGTGTGAGAGATGTTAGCCCCCCCTTGCCCCTCCCATTACAGAGTGTGTGTTGGACTGATAGGTAACGGTGTGTTGTTGGTTAGAGAGGATTAAGCACACACATGCGCATACGCACACACGGAGCCTTTCAGTGGGAATGAAAGCACACACTTCCCCACAGTTCACAGATGTAAACGCAAACACAACATTGAAAGGACATTGTGTGAACGCCGTGTGTCAGCTTCACTAAAATCTGGCCAATCCTGAAGGAGATCCGTGAGCGAACATCAGCACAGTTTTTTAATGGTTTTTGTTATTTTTGACATTCCTTTATTTCTGCAGTTTAAATAACCACAAACCTGTTTCCTGTTTGCAATAAAGTAGTTTGATAACAGTTTGAGTTTTTTGTGGCTCTGGTGCTGTTACAGAGGAAAGTTAAGGGCTTCTCTCTGATTGGTTCACTCACACAGATCCAACAGGTGCATCCACGTGACATCGTGAATGAGGCTGTTGTATGAACTGTACACATGGTTTTTGTGAATTTGATGAATCTTACCCAGAGTGACAGCAGGGACTTTATCGTTGACAGGAAGAACTGTGATGTTCAGATCGTAAACAGGAAGTGTACCATGGAGAGGAACAGGAGGGGGCAGGGCTTCCCCGTGGCAGCAGCTGTCCGGCCCTCTGGCCTCACTGTCGGAGATGATGAGGGTGACCGTGTCGAACACCGGCTCAGGTCCGATCTCCCCGCCTTAAACAGAACAGCATGTCCACAACAAACGTTTCTAAAGAACTGCTTTCGTTTCATTGTATTTCATTTATGAATGCACTACGGGTTAGTTTCTGCTTTCAAACCTACTTCATAACCCATTCAAACTTTTTCCAGAGTTCAGCCAAGGCTGGTTCCCTTCCTGCGGAAGGAACACACATTTTTCCTACGTGCCGTGAACGCAGCCTGGCCTGCTCACCTGTGTGGGTATAGTAGATGTGACCCTGCAGGACGTCCTGCTGGGAGAACTTGTCCACAGTCACGCCGGCTCGCTGCAGCTCTCCCCTGCTCGGTCTCCGGGCGAGCATGTAGGTCAGCGCGGAGTCGTCGCTGTCCCGGTCGGTGGCCGACAGGTAGTCCACCGTCACCTGGACACGTCCCCCTTCCTCGCAGCTCAGCCCCCCTTGCAGACGGGCGCCCAGCTGAGGAGGCTCGTCGTTCATCGGCAGCACCTGAGGACGGGGGGGTGGGTTACATTTC